AAATTTGAAGAATTTGTTGTCGTTTTTGAGACAGAGTCTTATTCTGTCACCCAGGATGGAGTGCAGTGGCATAATCTTGGCTCACTGCAACCTCCACCTTCCAGGTTCAAGCGATTCTCCTGCCTCAGCCTCCCAAGTAGCTGGAATTACAGGTGCCCACCACAATGCCCAACTAATTTTTTGTATTTTTAGTATAGACGGGGTTTCACCATGTTAGCCAGGTTGGTCTCGAACTCATGACCTCAGGTGATCCACTCACCTCAGCCTCCCAAAGTGCTGGGATTGCAGGCATGAGCCACCACAACCAACCAGCTTTATACATTTTAAGACTATGTAAGACATCAATCAATACATGTAAGATGTACATTGGTTCAGTCTAGAAAGGTGGGACAACTGGAAGTGAGGAAGTGGGCAAAGGAATTAGGGTTAGGGTTCCAGTTCACAGGTAGATTCAAAGATTTTTTAATTGACAGTTGCTTGAAAGAGTTATTCTATAAAGACTTGGAATCAATAGAAAGGAATGTCTGGGTTACAATAAGGGGTTGTAGAGACTCTGAGTTACTGGAGCTGTAAGCACTTGGGAAGTCAAGACTGGCTCATCTCTTTGCTCTGTAAGATGTCCGGACAGTCATAGAAGTGCTGTGCAGCCAACCAAGGTGACAAGCATGAACCAGCCTCGGCCTGAAGTTACCCACTCCCCAGAAGAAGAGCTTTTCACTTCCAGATCTTGTGGCTATTTCTTTTTTTGTTTTGTTTTGTTTCATTTGTTTGCTTGAGACAGAGTCTTGCTCTGTTGCCAGGCTAGAGTACATTGGCGTGATCTCGGCTCACTGCAACCTCTGCCTCCTGGGTTCAAGTGATTCTCCTGCCTCAGCCTCCTCAGTGGCTGGGATTACAGGTGCCCGTCACCACATTGGGCTAATTTTTGTATTTTTTAGTAGAGACAGGGTTTCACCATGTTGGCCAGGCTGGTCTTGAACTCCTGACATCATGATCCACCTGCCTCGGCCTCCCCAAGTGCTGGGATTATAGATGTGAGCCACTGCGCCCGGCCTCTTGTGGCTATTTTTACAGATCTGCTCCTGACAATAGGCAATAGACCAAAAATACTGAGAGTGACAGAGTTGAAGAGAAGTACCTAAACAAAGATGGCCTGGCACAATGGCTCACACCTATAATCCCAGAACCTTGGGAGGCCGAGGCAGGAGGATCACTTGAGCCCAGGAGTTTTAGACCATGCTGGCCAACATGGTGAAACTCTGTCTCTACAAAAAATACAAAAATTAGCTGGATGCGGTGGCATGCGCCTGTAGTCCCAGCTATTCGGGAGGCTGAGGTGGGAAGATCACCAGAGCCTGGGGAGGCGGAGGCTATAGTGAGCCCTGATCACTGCACTCCAGCCTGGGTGACAGAGAGAGACCCTATCTACAAAACAAACAAACAAACAAAAAACCCTAAAGGAAGAGTCTGCAAGTGCCCTAATCTGAAAGGAGAAAAGCCCTGAAGTTTCTTTTTTTTTTTTTTTTTTTGAGACAGAGTTTTGCTCTTGTTGCCCAGGCTGGAGTAAAATGGTGCGCTTGGCTCCCCACAACCTCCGCCTCCCACATTTAAAGAATTCTCTTGCCTCCACCTCCTGAGCAGCTGAAATTACAGGCATGTGCCACCATGCCCGGCTATTTTTGTATTTTTGGTAGAGATGGGGTTTCTCCGTGTTGGTCAGGCTGGTCTTGAACTCCCGACCTCAGGTGATCCACCAGCCTCAGCCTCCCAAAGTGCTGGGATTACAGGCGTGAGCCACCGTGCCTTGCTTCTACTATTTTCATTCTAACCAGTATGGTGCACAGAGATCCAAGTGGCAGACAGATGGCAAGGCTCCAGAATAGCACAGACCTGGAGGGAGAGGGAGGGCCGCCTCCTGACAAGGGAGGGCCACTGGTCATACTCTCTCCTCCGCATTAATTCTTCCAGCCACTCCTGGCTCCAGCAGGACGCTAAGAAGTATCCCCAAAGGGAGTCACCCCCAATATTGCCCAGTAAATAATTTAGAAGCAAAAATGCAGGAAACTCAGGGGAAGGTCAAGCAAGTCCACTAGAGGGAGCCCAGCCAACTCTATGAAGCAGGGAGCCTCACAAAGCAGTGTCTCAACGCGTCTGCAAATCAACCACACAAAGGAATGGAGAAGTGTGGCAACAGATTAAGTCACTAGGAGAGAAGATTGCCACAGAAACACCCAGATAAAACCCAGGCTTTTCAAGAGCTACGAAATCAAACATTTAAAGATCAGGAAACTGAGGCTGAGCAAAGTCAAATGGCTTGCCTCCGTTAACATATCCACAGTTGGGACTCAAACTCACATCTCTTGTCTCTAACCTGAGCACTTTCCTCCACCCTTGCATGCCTCTAGGTCAGTCCCTAGAGTCCCTGGGGCCACCATTCCTCTGCATCTCATTTCTCTGAAGTGGGAAACTCCCTCGACTACCTCTTCCTGCGCTTATTTCCCTCATTCTACAGTGTACTGAAGGCATCTTCAGTGGTTTGGGGTTTTGTTTGTTTGAGACAGGGTCTCCCTCTGTCATCCAGGCTGGAGTTCAGAGATGCAATCATGGCTTACTGCTGCCTCAACCTCCCAGGCTCAAGCGATTCTGCCTCAGCCTCTCAAGTAGCTGAGATTACAGGTGTGCACCACCACGCCAGGCTGAGTTGGTTTTGTTTTGTTTGTTTTGTTTAAGACGGAGTTTCACTCTTGTTGCCCAGGCTGGAGTGCAATGGCACAATCTCAGCTCACTGAATCCTCTGCCTCCTGGGTTCAAGCGATTCTCCTGCCTAACCCTCCTGAGTAGCTGGGATTACAGGCATGTACCACCATGCCCAGCTAATTTTGTATTTTTAGTAGAGACGGGGTTTCTCTATGTTGGTCAGGCTGGTCTTGAACTCCAAACCTCAGGTGATCCTCCTGCCTCGGCCTCCCAAAGTGCTGGGATTACAGGCCTGAGCCACTGCACCCGACCTGAGTTTTTAATTTTTTATAAAAATGAGGTCTGACTGTGTTGCCCAGGCTGTCTCGAACTCCTGGCCTCAAGCAATCCTGCCTCAGCTTCTCAAAATGCTGGGATTACAGGCATGAGCCACCATCCCCAGCTTAGATCTTCAGTTTTAAGCCTACTAATGTCATTTTGCTGATAAGACCTGGGGATGTAAATTGTCCAACGTGGCTACTGTCAGTCTTTTTCCTCTGTATCAATGCAACATATTATATCAGATGTGTACACCTGAATTTGTAAGTCTCCAAATTGCAGGCCATATCTACATGGCAATGAATCATAGCGAATTGGCTTACAAAGCCCATTCTCTTCAAACTACACTTAGCATTTTGGCTTAAGGAAAGAACTGACCCTTTGAGACCTTGACATTTTAAGTCTTGTGAGCTGATTTAGCCCAATCCACCTTCCTAGGAACTCCATGTTTCCCAGTTGCCTGGACAACATACAGCCTCCTGAAACCCAACCTTCCAGTCCTCAATCCTACCCTGAAGAGAAATTTGCCTCCGAGGGGTTCCCAGGTCCCAGGCTCCACCTCAGGCTCCTCGCTAGTTGGGCCTTCTCTCTGCCACTCCCTACGAGTGGGTCACTTCACAAGGGCCCCAACACAGGCCAGAGAGGATCCTACAGGTAGGAAGAGAGGGGTGAAGAGAATGGGAAGAGGGAGGGGAGCAGGTACAGGGATTTAGTTTCTCTAAAAGACAGTTGAGAGGAATGACTTCTGAACAGAGAGTCAGCCTGGTTAAGAGAAAAAACTCCATCCTCCCCACTGACCCCAACCCTGCCTGAGGTTTCAAAGAGACCATGAACTGACTCTTCTAGAGAGGAGGAGAGACAAATTTGGAGTAGAACCAGGCGACTCTCCTGAGACTCCTGGTTAAGTTAGGGGTCAGGAGAGCATCCCTGTGTCCAGACCTAAACATAAGGTCTCCTCCTTTAGGTAGCAAGGAGATGCCACCTAAAAACAAAGAAAAAGGGAGAAAAGCTGGAGCGCAGAAGAAGAAAAAGAACAGGGGTGAGTCATGGTGGGTGGAGGTGCCCTCTGCTTCTCCTTGTTCTGGCATGATGACCACTCAGAAGTCCTCCAGAAAGAATTCAGCCTTCTGCATGATAGGGCGGAACTCTCTTGACCTTCCTCTTCATGTCCTAGAAGCCAGATTCAAGGAGCTGAGGAAGCAGGGCAATGGTCACCCACACTGTCCTTTGAGCCCCATCTAGCTCTGTGCCTTCCTGATATATTTGCATATCTGTTATGTGCTGGTCGGTGAGGACATGGTGCTGACTTCAGTAGACTCTGCCACCATGGATCACTCATTTAGTGGTCCTCAGGTCTCCTGTGGGAAAAGTGCTGGGTATGGGGTGAGGACGCAAGGAGAGTGAGGAGTGCTGAGATCATGAAGAGCTGAGGCTCTGCCACTTGCCATGGCAGGTGCAGATGTGGAGGCCGAGTCCAGGCACAGGCTGGTGGTGCTAGAGAAGGAGCTGCTCCGAGACCACTTGAGTTAGGAGGGTAGAAGCTGGCATGGGAGTGGGCAACAGGGGCAGTGCAATGGGCCATTTCTGTATCCTGGGGGATTAGAGGCATGGCGGGGGCCTAAGCCAAACCCTAACCATCTCATGGAAAAAGACCATGACAGAGGGGTGGGAAGTGGATGAAGGAAGCTTTTTTTTTTTTTTTTTTTGGAGACAGGCTCTTGCTCTATTGCTCAGGCTGGTGTGCAGCAGTGTGATCATGGTTCACTCCAACTTCAAACTCCTGGGCCCCAACAATCTTCCCGCCTCAGCCTCCTGAGTAGCTGGTATTACAGGTGCACACCACCATGCCCAGCTACTTTACTTCTTTCTTTTTCTTTTTCTTTTTTTCTGAGACAGAACCTGGCTAATTTTTGTAGTTTTAGTAGAGATAGGGTTTCACCATGTTGGCCAGGGTGGTCTCAAACCCTTGACCCCGTGATCTGCCTGCCTAGACCTCCCAAAGTGCTGGGATTACAGGCATGAGCCACCATGCCTGGACCTATTTATTTTTCTTATAGAGACAAGGTCCAACTCTGTTGCCCAGGCAGGTCTCAAACTTCTGGCCTCAAGCAATTCTCCCACCTAAGCCTCCCAAAATATTGGGATTAATGGCACGAGCCACCATGTTGGGCTATCTGGAAAGCTATTTTTTAGAGCCAGAACATGGAGGGAGTTTTTGCTTCTTAATAATGAAGAGCCTGTGAGAGTCTAGGGATACAAAACAAAAACAACAAAACCTAGAGAGAGAATAAGAAGCTGGACGCCCCACCCCCGGATTTCCAGAGTTGGGCAAAGTCCATCCTGGGAAATTGGAGGCCATGGGGGCTGATTTAGTGGGCCCCAGACAGTCCTGACAGCAGCTCTGGGACTGCTCACAGCTCTATAGAGGGATGAAGCCCGCTGAGCCAAGGCTTCCGAAGACCAGCTGAGGCAGAGGCTGCAAGAGGTGGAGGCTGAGCTGGAAGGGCCCGAAGTGAAGGGAAGGCCATATATGCAGGTATGTGGTCGGTTGAGCAGGTGGGCATGAGACAGGGGCTTGGAGGAGGAAAACCAACAGGGCCAGATGATGCAAGGAAGGGAAACAAGGAGGGCTTCTGACTGCCAGGCCTGGTCTTGGTCTTCCCTGAACAGGACAAATCAGGCAGGATCCTATAGGAACCAAAGGCAGGTGTCTGGGATCCCAGGCAGGGGCTTTCCAGCATGCCTGGTGCCGTGCTTGATACTGTGTAGGATACACATGCAGTCATAGCCATCGGCTCACTCATCCCAGGGGAGGGGAGAAGGGTTAGCATCCCCAGATGAAGCTGGACTTGGGGAGGTGGGTCTGGCTTTCTGTCCTTTCCCCAGGTTTTCATGGTCTCCAGCTTCTCAGAATCACAAAAAGAACCAAGAAGGCCTTGGTGCTCCTGTTCCACTAGACCAAGTAGAGTCTTGCCCACCCACAACTTCACTTCCTTTCTCTATCCCTCCATCTCCAACCTGGGTCCCTGGGGGCCCACTGCCCTCACCCTAGAGATGAGTCGCCAGTGCCAGGCCCTGCAGAAGGAGATGGAGAGCCATAGCAGCTGGAGGAAGAAGTCAGGGGCCTTCGGAAGCAGCTAGGTAGGTTTCCCCACCCTCCAAGCCCCTTCTCTCCAAGGGTTGCAACAAGGGCCAGCATGAAGCGGTAGACTTCAAAGTCTCTGCTCTAGAAAGCTGCCATCTGGGCTCTGGGATCACTTTCCCCACTTTCACTGACCCTCTGCCACCAAGGACTGGAGCAGAGGGTTCACGATGCCAAGAATCTCTGTTGCAAAGAAGAGGTAGGCCTTGCACCCCATTTCCCCCTCCACTTGGTCTCTCCAAGTCCAGCCCTAACTCCCCACCACTGCCATGTCTCTTCTGAGCAAAACATACTCCCTCTTGGTTTAGCTGATTTCTACAATGAAACTAAGGGAAAATGTTTGACTTATTTACTTCTATGTCTTCAAGAACTAGCACCTGGTAGGTCCTAAATAACTGTTCACCAAATAAATGAATAAACACTCCTAATAAGCACAAATATTTTTAAAAACCAGGAAGTCGGCCAGGCACAGTGGCTCTCGCTTGTAATCCCAGCACTTTGGGAGTCCAAGGTGGGCAGATCACAAGGTCAGGAGTTCGAGACCAGCCTGACCAACATGGTGAAACATCCACTCTACTGAAAAAAAAAAAAAAATGAGTCGGTCGTTGTGGCGCACACCTGTAATCTCAGCTACTCAGGAAAACTGCTTGAACCCGGGAGGCAGAAGGTTGCAGTGGACCAAGATCGTGCCACTGCACTTCAGCCTGGGAGACAGAGCAAGACTCTGTCTGAAAAAAAAAAACCATGCCAGGCGCGGTGGCACGTGCCGGTAGTCCCAGCTACTCGGGAGGCTGGGGCTGGAGGATCGCTTGAGCCCGGGAGTTCTGGGCTGTAGTGCACTATGCCAATCGGGTGTCTGCACTAAGTTTGGCATCAATATGGTGACCTGCTGGGAGCGGGGGACCACCAGGTTGCCTAAGGAGGGGTGAACCGGCCCAGGTCGGAAACAGAGCAGGTCAAAACTCCCGTGCTGATCAGTAGTGGGATCGCGCCTGTGAATAGCCACTGCACTCCAGCCTGGGCAACATAGCGAGACCCCA